CATAACAAGATTAGAAAGAATTAATTCATGAGCCTTCTAGATCTGAGACTTGTTTTTGAGGCATAGTTCTTTTCTGAAATCATCGCATGTTTGTTCATGAGACTGAGTTTTCTGTCCATTCTTGAGTCCATATGGGCAGTTTTTAATTATTCTAGCCCATCATTCTCTTCAGTCAGGTTTTCAAATTTATTAACTTAGGGTTACAATTTTCAAATTGCTGTTTCTTCACACTTGTATATATTTCTGTCTCCTTCTTGGATAGATTAACTGAAAGATCTACTTTAATTATTTTTTTTAAAAAATTCAAGTCTTTTTATCATTTACCAATTTTATTATTTTTTTCCCTAACCATTAATTTCTACTTTTTCCTTTTTTTGATTTTCCTTTAAGCTTAGGTTAAATATTTTTATTTCTTTTTATACTTCTCAAATGATTTATTAATTTCTTTTAATTTTTTTATAATTTGATAAATTAAGCATAAATTTTCTTCTTAGCATAATTTTGACCACATCCAAAAGACTTTGATATTGATGTTTATTATCAACATTTTCTAGATTGTCTGCATTGGTAGTTTTAATTTCTTTCCTAATTCAAAAACTATTTAGATGAGAGCTATAAAAATTATTGTGTTGTCTTATAATCAATAAACTTAATTTGATTTATTTCAACTGGGACTATTTCAAGATTTTCTTTGAGTTCTAATATATGTATATTAAATTGTTACAATGTCCCATGACTTGATGAGAAGACATGTTCCCTATAGTGTATAAAGTTCAACATTTGTCTATTTGATGAGGGATGTGGAGGGAGAGTTTCTGATTTTAGATTAGATGGTTAAGGAAGGACTCTTAGATAAACTGACAGACTGTAATGAAATGAGGAAACAATAAGAGCAAAAGCCTTAGTAAATTGTTTCTGCTTTCATTGAAAGAGGTAATCTCAGACGTAGTTCTATATCTAACCTGTTCTTTATTTTTACTTCAATGAAATGCTAATTCAGAGCAGTCCTTTTGCATAGTTGTTTTGTATAAAACAATACTGGTAACATCACATTTGGCCACAAGGCAATCATTAACACAACTATACTTACATCAACATTTTTAGATTACCATTATAATACAGAACTAAAATTGTGATAGACTACTCTTGGACCCCTGAGCGTATGCCTCTGTTTTGTCATAAGTCCCTGTTTGAGAACTACTACCACTGTAGATTATTCTTTAGGATTTTTCCACTTCCTTCCACAAAACAGGGAGAGAGGAAAGAGTAGTAGTTACTCGTTTAATTCATGTTGAATTGAGACTTGCTTTACCAGTGTTATAGGGCAAGGGCATGTGGTCTTTCTCTTGGCTGCTTATGGTCACTGTCCTAACTTAGTTCATTCAGACTGCTGTAACAAAATACCATAGCATAGATAGCTAATAAAAACAAGGTATTTATTTCTCACAGTTCTGAAGGCTGGGAATTCCGAGGTCAAGACTGATTTGGAGGGCCAGCCTGTGGCTCACTTGAGAGAGTGTGGTGCTGATAACACCAAGGCCACGTGTTTGGATCTCTATATAGAGATGGCCAGTTAGCTCACTTGGAAGAACGTGGTGCTGACAACACCAGGTCAAGGGTTAAGATCCCCTTGCTGGTCATCTTTTAAAAAATGACTGATTTGGTGTCTGAGGAGGGCCCATTTCCTGGTTCATAGATGACACCTTTTTGCTGTGTCCTCACATGGTGGAAGAGGCAAATAAACTCCCTAGGGCCTCTTTTATAAGGGTACTAATTCCATGGCTCTACCCTAAGGACCTAATCACCTTCCAAAGGCCCTACCTCCTAATACCATCACCTTGAGGATTAGGATTTCAATGTATGAATTTTGGGGGAGAATAAACATTCAGGTCACAGCAGCCCCCATTTACTATTCTTCCAGATTATGAGATATGTGTGAGAGCTTTTGAAGAATTTTATTTACTTAACTTTCTATACTACTACTACCAGTACTTGCACTACTCACTCTATAAGGAATCCACATGGATTTCTAACATCTTCTTTTATTTTGGTTAAAATTTTAGTAAATTTAGATACTATTTTTTCAGGTGTAACGTATAAGATTAGGATACTCATGTGGTTTCAGCATTGATGGTATTTTCATTGCATTTCTAACTATTTGTGTTCTTTGCTTTGAGTTTGGGGAATGGACTTCCAGTAAGCCTGTACCTATGTAGCTATTTTCCTAGGAGTCTACTTTTCTCATTTTTATTGAATGTTTAAGAAACTTTTCTCCTAAGTCATGCGTTAGAATAACTTGATTTTAATCTTAAAACTGACAAGTTTTGTTTTTTTAATTGCTTGACAGGTTGGAATTCGAGGTACCAATATAGTTGTGCTTGGGGTAGAAAAAAAATCTGTTGCCAAGCTTCAAGATGAAAGAACTGTGAGGAAAATTTGTGCCCTTGATGACCATGTCTGTATGGCTTTTGCAGGTATTTATGGAACTACAATAATGATGCATTGTATCTTAGTGTACTAGGGCAACACTATTGGCCCCATTGCCACAGTTGTGCTGTATTTGTACAACACATCAAGTTTTACTTTATCTCTTATTAAAAGCAAACAGTATATCCTATTTTTGAAAGAAAATCACAACTCTGTAAACTGAGAGTTCTGATAATGAACTTTGATAAAGCATAAATGTTAGAAGATATATATTATATTGCCTCACTTATAACTTTAGGTAGCTGTTTCTTTTTAAACTTTTTTTTTTTTTAATTATAGACTTGCAAGAATTTAACAAAAAACACAAGGAAGTCTACTTTACCTTTTACCCATTTTCCTTCAATGGTAATACCTTTAGGACCAGAAAATTGACATTCATACAATCCACAGAGCTTATTCAGATTTTACCAGTTTTACGTGCATTCATTTGCATTTATATGTATGCAGTTTTGTTATGCTTATCACATGTGTAGATTCACATATCCATCACCATAGTCCAGATCAACTCTTTCATTACCACAAAGCTACCTCATGCTATTCCTTCTCCTATCTCTAACTTTTGGCAACCACTAATCTATTCTTCATCTTTATAATCTTATCATTTT